TAAATGAATTTCAAAGAAAAAAGCCGAAAAACAAACTTTAAAATTTACTTAATTACAAACTTTAAAACTCCAAAACTAAACTGAGGTTAAATAAACTGTCAATTTCCTTCTTATAGTTTTGGAAAAAGTCGAATTCCTTAATATCTTCAGATGTAACGAGTTGCAAATATTATTATTTTATTAGATTTTTGTGCAAAGAAATCCACAAATATTGATTTTGACGACTCAAAACAATGTCAAAATTTAAACAAATGGAGATGTGTGGCACTTCTTCAGACATGAAACTGGATGGCTGCGAAAAATTTTAACACTATAATCGTTTTCTCTAAACTTAACTATAAAACAAAGAAAAAAGAATTCTACTTTGATCTAATATTTTGGTCCATAACATTTTAATGTCAAAATGTTCCTTAAAAAATTCTTTTAAGGACGCGCTAAATGACATAATTTCAAATGCAAGAATTTTTTTTTGTTTTATAAAAATTAAGGAACGCGCACGACTAAAATTTAGTGCCAATGGTCTTTTTTTAGGATTATTTTTAAATACTTGATTCCTAGGATTATTTTTAAATGTCCGAATTTTATAAACAACAACGGACATTGTTGATGATGTGTCTTTTTTTTAATTTCCAATTTCAAATAAAAAAATTACAAAGTGAAGAAAAACTTTGCATTTTTAATTATTTTATAATTTATTTACATTCAGCTGAAACTTCAGTAAATAACAATTGTAAGTTTATTTTTTCTTGAAAAAAAAAATGCACCAAGAGCGTTTGCTTTAATTTTGCTTGTTTAATGTTTGTTTAGATTATTTATAACAGTCTCATTTCTGCTTGATTGATTTGAAATTTTAACCATCATATTTTTTCTCTTACAGAGCTGTTCTTCAAAAATATCTATTCGCGATTTTTATTTTATAAAATATTGTTTTAAAATATCACAAACTCCATTGAAAATATAAATTTTGATTGATATTCGACTTAACTACTTATTCCATTTCAAAATTATTGACGATAAAACATTAAAAAAATGTTTAAGAAATCTTTTAAACTTATTTTGTAATAGAAAAATAAAAAAATTCTTCAAAAAAATATTCTTTAATACTTGAATGTTATTAATTTACATTTGTATCGCATTTATGGCTGTTTAAATTAATAAGTGTAAATAGGATAAGTGCTTCATAAAAAAATTACTTTTTATAACAATGCAACAAAAAATAGGAAAAAAATATAATTAAAAGTAGTTTAAAAAACATAAATTCTTCGAAGTGGCAATTTTTTATTGTAAAATACACATGATAACATAACTATTATTTAATTCTTGAATTATTTTCGTTTGAGATAGAAGTTCTAATTATTTTTATTTTTAAAATCATATTTGTAAATTTATGATGAAAATTTTGTTCCCAGAAATAATCAATCGATAATAAATAAAACGGGTATTCATCATGCGACACTACATATTTCCGCTATTTGTCCGCAGTTTTGTTCCATTTAATTAAAAAAACTTTTATCATTCATCTTTTTTGGACAATTAAATCCAGTTTTCTGTTTTCTTTTTAATTTTCTCTCTAAATGTTTTTGTTGTCTTCCGTGACTCATTTTTACCAATAATAGTACCACTTGATTCTCCCGCGAACCTTGACATCGCTCGCACTTTTCATTGGATGATTCGGAAGTATCATTCTCAGATTTATTTATTGGCGACTTTATCGCCGTTTTGGTTAAGTTGGAGTAAAAAAAGAATTCCTTGAAGCATACAAAAAAAGTCATAATGCTGTTTTCTAAGCCATAAATCAATATTAGATATTCGTTTTAAAAATTAATTCGCAACTTTATACGAATTTGTTACTTAAGGAGCAATAAAGATGAATTCTAATTTAAAAATTCCTTTTAACACTTTTTTGAAACAGCATCTTTTTGTGTTTTTGTATTGGACTTAATTAATACTAAAATTATTTAAAATTTTGAAGAGGATGCTTGATTTTAATTTTTGATGACTATAAATTAAACTGTAAAGCATTGCATTTTTTACAACATTAATTTGAATTTTCTCTGTATTTGTGAGAAAAAAAATAAATTAAGGTTTGTTAATGAATTGAGGAACGTTTTATGCGAAACAAAATGCGCTATGGAATTCTTTTATTTTTTAATACTTCTGAAAACATAAGTGCAGAACACACACGCACACACATATATATATAGATATATGTGTGTGTGCAGTTGGAAAAGGCTATGTTTACAAATATTACTAGTTGCATAATTTATTGCTTAAGGAAGATAAATCTTTTGTTGTTAGTCATTGTTTCACACACTTTATATATTTCCAAATAGCTTTAACATTAAATAATTTAACTATTTATAATAGTATTTGGTTTCAGAGAATAATGAAACTAATTATACTACAAGTTCCACTGTAACTATATAAAGTAGCGAAATTCAATTTCAAAATAATTTATCATTGAACAATTCGCACATTCAACACTAGAAGAAATGGTTTCAGTGCATGATTTATATAATTACACCATAACTTCACTAGACATTGGGGCATTCAATTTCATAATTTATTTGTTCTAATCAATGTTTCACAATACGCACTTCATAGGTTCTCAAATAACATTATTCACTAATTTTATACTCAATATATTCAATAATTTTATAGCATAATTAAATTGCACTATAAGTTCAATTATAATTACATATGACTGTGAAATTCAATTTAATACCCTTCTGTGAATTATATTTTAAAATTTCTCTCAAATGTATCTTCATATATCTCCAGACAACAATTAACCTCTACTATAGTAGTTTTAGAACATAATTAAGATAATTACACTGCAAAATCACAAGTACGCGTAATTGGGAATTGATACTTTTTTGTGAATCATCTTCATTATTTCACATGTGGATATTACCTAGATTTCTATTCTATATTCCCTTGATTTTTAGATTTCTGATGCATTTCTAGATCTGTATATGGTGTTGCTTAAATTTCAGTCTCCCTAAAAACATATTCATGTTTAATTTTTTTATTAATGTACACTAAAAAAAATTCCGGATCAAATAGCGATAAAAAGTATTGACACTCAGGGTGCCGGTACTTTTTACCGTAACCGGAAATGTTGCGGAACAAAAAAATCTGATATACCATAATTTTTACAGCTATCACCGTAAAATCTCCGAAACACTCTAATGAAATAAATACTACTATAAAAATTATGACATAATATTTTAGGGATGATGCACCTAAAGTGTCGATATTTTATACCGTAATTGGATTCAGAATTTTCCACAGTATACAAGCTGAATACACACTCTTCGTATTTTTAGAATACTAAATAATCAATTAATCTGTATTTACCAACACTAGGAATCATGCACAAAGATAATCAATTGATCTGTATTAATCTGTATCTGTATTTTATTAGGATTCATGCACAAAACTGAAAGGCATATACCGGTAAAATTAATTGCGTTAAACAAAATTCGATTTTTTATTTATTTATCATTATTTATTGTCCTTCCTGGTGACTTTATGTTATTAGATTAAGCAAAGTATGCTTGTAGAAGATCAACCCATCGGAATAAAGATTTACTCTATTTAGTATCATTTGGTATAATGCTATTTCTTGAGGTCAACTCATGATAGTCTAAATTTACCACAATAATGCAGTTTTTTTACGGTACTCATCCGTAAAAATCCTATTACCACAGTAGCTATATTTGGTACTTTTTGATCTACATTAAATACCAATCTTAGTATATTTTATACTGATTAAAGCAGCTCCCTATTAGCACAATAGTAGAATCAATTGCTGAAATTAATTAAGCATCATTGGAGTTGAAAATTGTAATTATTTTTTACAGATCCCCGTAACAAATAATTCTTCGCTGCATTAATAACTAATATTAGTAAGTTACTTCTTTTTTTCCCTTTCAATTATTTATTTATTTATATATATATATATATACATATATTCAATTATATATTATTGAATCAATGATCAAAGGCTTATGCTAAGCAATAGGAGAAATTTATTTTTCAAATGTCTCTTCCGAACGAAGTAATTGGAAATTTCAAAATTTCAAATGATTTTTTAGAGGCAGGAGCTAAAATTACCCCTTGCACCCTCTATCGAAATTTCAAGATACTAGAACAAAGGGTTCTGAAGTTATAAGAGAGGCACACAGATATTTACACAAACTCTTCATTTTACTAAAAAAAGAAAGGAAAAAGCTAGCACAATATGAAAAATTAATTTATAAGAAGTAAATTATCAATAGAAATCTATTGTGACAAGGCTCTTAGCATAATTACATAAAAAAAAAATTCATGTTTTGAGTTGTTGTTCAAACATAACTTTTAAAAAATTCATTTCATTTTTGTACTTTATGGTAAATAAAAAAAAGATTGCAGCTTTTTTTTAATACCGGCTTGCAAATAAAATCAATAGAATAAAGCTAAAAATCTATAAGCTGTTAAGGAAAGTTTCTAAATGCCGTGTTTAGAAACCACAAAATCATTTTTCCTAACAAAATAAAGTAAAATAATTTTTTCACATAATGCTATATAAATATTTTTTAAAAAGAACAAATTAATTTATTGAATTTTGCTAAAAACAAAATTAAGTAAAAGAATATGCAACAAAATATTAAGATACATATATACATTTTCTTCTAATTAACAAAGGCAGAAATTTTTGAGATACACTGAATAAATTTCAAGAATATTAACTAAAAATTATTACTTAGTTTTCTTTTTCTAAACTATTTATCTTCATAAAGCGGAACAGTTTAATTCATAACTTAAAGCAATAACGATCTTTCCATTAAAAAGAAAAAATCGTAAACAATAAACAAGCTTTTGAGTCCAGAAAATGGAAAAAGAAGAGGGAAAAAAGCACTTAACAATATTAAGTACTTGGCGTGGTTTTGGCAACTTGAAGCACTTCAGTTGGCATCCTTTTTTCCTGGTTTTCTTTTCGGCAACCCTTGGTGCGCGCACGTCTCGAAATTCTCCTTCATATCGTCCCGCTCTTGAGTTTTGCAACTCTTCGAATCTCTCTGATTGTTCGCTTATTGCCAAGATAATAAAGAAAAAATAATTCTTTTTTCATGTGACATAAACATATTTTGCTTAATTAGATAGAAACTTTAGAAAAAAAATTATTTTGTGCTGACGTATAATTTTCTTCCCTGTGCGGAACTATTTTTCTTGCTGAATATTTGCTGTTTTCTGTTCTTTTCAAGTTTATCCGATCGGACAATTAGTGTTTTTGATATTGTTCCAAAATGATGCGGGCTATTGTCTTGGTGCTCTTTTTGAGTTATGGATCTATTTACGGTAAGTCTATTTACATTTTCTACAACTATAAAATGTTTCTTATAATTTAATTTCTCTTTAAATTTTATTTTAAAATTTTATTCAAGCAAATATGTAAAGCAACGAAACAAGTTGAAACTAAACTTCGAAAAATCTCAATATTGGATGAATAATTAATATTGTACGTAAGATCAATATTTATCTTAGTAAAATATATTTCCATTCTTATTCGTTTAGTTTTAATTTAAAATATAGAAACGAATATGTTGGAATAATTTAATGTTGCTCAAACCTATCGGGAAAATAATTCGAAAAAAATCGTCTGCAAAATTAAAATATCTGCCGAAAAGATCCTTTTTTTTTCCTGTATGGTACCATTTTTAGTTGAATTTTTTTATTTTTCGTTAGTTTCAAGTTATATCTAATCGGACAATCGTTTGTTACTTAAAAAGAAAGCGAGCTTTTCTTTTCTTGATGTATTTTTTACTTTAACGAATCTTTTAATCGTAAGTCAGTTTAAATCTTTGAAGAACATGAAACTTTTTAATTTTTAAAAATTTATTGCTGAAATCATCAACTCACAGTAAATTTTGAGTTTTTTTTTTTTTTTTAAACTACTGAATTGATTTTGAAACTTTCTTTTTTCTTCTGCTGTCCACTTTTTAAAATACTTGAACATTTCTATAGAAATTTTTAAGAAAATGATTTTTAAAAGTTAAGAATATTTTTGAGGAAATCGATTTTAAATGTAAATAAAAAAATTTTGAAATTGATAAGTTCCAAAAATGTGTGCCGTAACAAAATAAACAAAAATCAAACGAAAGAGTTTTTTAAAATCGATACTCCTTAATTCAACACGAAATACAACTCAATGAAATTTTAAGATATTTGTAAGAAATAGAAAAATATTAATGCGTTTGAAGAATATTTTTAAACTTTATTGTTTCGTCTAAACATTATTCACATTTTCACTAATTTAAATTTTACTGTCACTAATTTAATATTAATCTACATTTGGAAGATAAAAATTTAGAATTTTTATTTAAATAATATGGAATAACCTAAATTCAAACAATTTGCTTGTAAGAATCGTCTGCGAAATAAATTCGCATGCCGATGAAGATCTTAAGCTGCGGAGCTATTTTTGTTTTTCGTATTTTCGAACTTAACAAGTTCATCTGATAAGACATGTTATTTTACACTGTTCCAAAATTATACGGGTTTATTTTTTTGTTCTTCTTTAGTTAGAGTTCAATTTACAGTAAGTTCTTTCACAATTTTTATCACTAAAAATATATTGCTAAATGATTTACGTTAATGTAGTATATTCCAAGAGATAAATTTAAGCTTAAATTAATTATTAAAAAAGATTTTTTTTTTCTCTTATTAAAAAAAAAAATAAAACACTTATTAAATGTTAAAAAATATTTAGTATTATTCTAGTGTGGTTTTAATTTTATTGTTTTTCATAACTAACGTTTTTATTTTACATGTATGATTTATATTCCATAACATCATTGATTGTCTAAGAAAGCTTTTACGTACAAGTAGGAAACTTTTCTTACATGGATGCATAATTACAGAAAATGTTCAACTACTTCCGATGTTTGCTTAATTAAAAAGACGAATGTACATGCATTAATTAATTAATTTTTATTTGTTCCTCAATTAATAAAGAAATCATTATCCAGTTTTTTTCGGCTTTCAATAATGGATAATTGGATAGGAATTTCTTTTAAGAGAAATTAATATAGAAATTATTGTTTACATTTTAAGAGTTGTTTAGTTGTATAAGTTTGACTAACTGAAATAATTTTATAATCTATTTAAATGGAGTCTCAAATAATTAATTCTTTTTTATTTAGCTAATAAATATCATTTTTCAATATGTTCTCGAAACTTTCACATTGTATAATTATCTTGAATTATTATTTTCAAAAAGCATAAGTAATTTAACAAAAATGAAGTGGTCTAAAAATATTTAAATTTCACGGAGCAGTTACTTTGGAAGATTACAAATTTGAAGTACCGGTCATCGTAGTTTCTATATGCGGAAAATCTTATCTTACAACTTATACGTTTTGTGGTGTAATTGCACTTAAGATGAGATGATGACTCGATGCATATTTTGAAAGTGACCATTATCTCAAGGTTTTACGTAAAGACGAGCAAGTGATATATTGTTTACTTTACATGAGATTGTTAAGTTACAAATATAATAGGGAGTTGAATGATTTAAAGTATCGAATAACGTTCTTTTTTATATTTAATTTTTTTTTTGTTGCTATATTTAAAACAAAGTTACAATATATAGACAAAATTTGAGTTGATACAAAAAGTGTTATCATAAAAACAAGCACACTATAAAAAATTCTGGATCAAATAATAGTACAAAGTACCGTCATTTTTTAACGTAAAATTTTACGGAACAAACATAATTTTTACAGTTATATTTGCTTTGAAATCATTAAACCAGAGTAATTAAGTAAATGCGACTGTAAAAGTTATAGTATAAAATGTTACGGGAAAATGGATTTTACATTTGCTGCATTCAGTGTGCCAGTACTTATTGTCAGTATTTAATCTGGTATTTTCAACAGTGCAGTTGCTCTTGACATTACTTATGAAAAATTTGACATTGTATAGATATAAATTATCAATGAATAACGTAATGTATACCCTTACATGAAAAGAATGATTTTTATACAATTTGAATACAGGATAAAATGTGGCTATATGTCTTTAAAAAATACTAGCTATACTTTCTCAAAAACATCGGTTCAACATGGAAACGCAATATCGGTACTTTGAACCATGATGCTGTGCAAATTTGTTACAACTTTCGCAAAGCGTTAAATTGAGCCGTTTTTTTGTTCAATCTGATCCTTAGTATCATGTAATTAAATTTATGGAATACCTTAATATGGTACTAAGGTACTAAGCACCATATCATAATATGGTACTAAGCACCATATCAAGGTTTCAGCAAGTTCTAAAATTTTTAATAAAGCATAATTTCAAATATCCTTGCTTGGATGATTATTTTTATAATTATAATTTCTTCACATACATCGAAATATTTTTACTTGGTAAAATTAAAATTTTGTTTTGTAATTTATTTCCTCAAAAAAAAGAAGTATGGTCAAGACTTCTGGAATATGGTCAAATTAATCGTGTTTCTGATTCTAAGGGTACACCAAAAAAATCGGTAATTTTTACCAGAGCACCTTGGTAATGATTTTGGTAAAATTATTAAAATCTGGTTTTTATAATATGTGATAAAATTTGGTTAATGTGGTGAAAGGTGGCTATTTTACCATATCTTAATCATAGCATAAAAACCATTTGTTTGGTTAAATTTACTTTGCAGTTTTGTACTCAATTCGGGGTAATGAGAACTTTAATTTTGAAAACCTGAATTTCTGTGCAATCGGAACGGTTTTACCCTATGAACTTATAAATGTCCAAATGTATGGTTTTAATGCGGCATATTTTGGTTTTATTTACCAGAATTATGGCTTATTTAATCAGAAATGGTATTACCATACAGTACGGTAATTCTTCCAAAATCTTTTTCTCCAAGGTAATTAATTTTATTCTTTAAATCATTTAGCAGATTTAGCAATTAGACATGCTAGGTAACTATTGTAATTGAAAGATTAAAATAGGAACGGAATATTCAGCCATATACATAAGAAATTAAAGTTTATTTATTTAGATTATCAAATATATCTTTTTTTACTATTATTTTGGTACTAAATCTACAATTTTTATTCAGCTTAATTCAATCGTTTTAAGTCTTTTGTCATTAAAAATAATCTTAACTGACAGAATTTGACTATCGAAATTCATAGGTTGATCAATTCAGGTGCGTTTCTTTCTTGTTAGTATTTTTCGCTATTGAAATGCGAAACAGCCTACATTTGAAGTGGATTATCCAATTTGACATCATCATTATTTCCTGTAAACTGAGCCAAGGCTACGGTGTTATCAAGTGCAGAAATGTCTCTTGGCAAGAAAGACTTCATTTTTTGGATTTGTATCAAACACGCTGTCTACCTGCGCCGCGCATGGGCAGAAGCCAAATAATAAATAAAGTCACTGAATGAAGTTTTTTTATAGTTTAAATTTAACCAGCTTAACTCATCAGTACCTCCTGCTCCACTTTTAGACTAGACACAGTTATGTAGATGAGTCAATAATTAACACGAATTATAATATTAAAATTATTTTTAGTTTCTTTTTATTCTTCCTTTTTTTCTATTTTTTTTATTTTATTTTATTTTGTAAACAGAAAGAAGTAAGAATTATCTTCAACATTGTTGATTTTTCGTTATTTTCAGATTATTCATTGGCTAATTTTGTGAATAATTAGCTGAAGTAATTGGCAGATTTTTTAAAATTCAATATTTAATTAATTTTATTTAATTTCGTATATATTTTAGAAGAGTCAGTTATCATTGCTCATTTTTAGTTTGTTTATTTTTGAACATCTGACAACGTTTACGTTTATTTGATAATGTTTAAGATTCGGACAGTTATATAATATTTTCCATTGCTTCATTGAAATGGAATAATAGGCATTAGAGAATGTATTGATTTATCATATAAGTTACATTCGTCCTCTATTGAAATTTCATGAACACCACAAGTAAGGAATTATATTATTTATCAATATTCTAAAAATGTTATTTATAATGATCTAAATTCATTGATTGATATTAATTATAATTATAATTTTTATTTTTAAATCCGGAATTTCCCTGTCTGTCTTGTATAAAACTAACCTGAAACATTCATCACATTTGTTTTCCCTAAAAACAACACTAGGGGTGAAATGTTTAAAAATCAGTATTGAATAAGTGAATGAGCAATAAACGTAAATAATAAAATAAATATTATTGTTTTTCTAGTTATAGTTCGTTTAATGATCTTTCAATAATGGTGACAGTTATATTTATGTGAGTTTGATTGTTTTTTTTTAAATTGTGTTGTTTGCTTATGATATGTTTTTACATGAT